TTAGAAATAATAATGCAAACTTAAACATGTAAGAAATTAGAAATGGTGGTGATTTGGTCACATTCTTTGTATAAAGAGTTAAAGACAAAAAAAGTAACCCTTACACTGACATTTATATAACGATATATATATATATATATATATATATATATATATATATATATATATATATATAGGGTTGAAAGGTCAAAACAAATTTCATAATTTTGCTAAACTCATCACTCTCTAAATCTTAGCTAAAAATTTAGCCAAATTTAAGAAAACTTTGGAAAGTCAGATAAAGTTTTGGAAAATTTCAATTCAATCAACTCCAATAAAAGGACAAGGTTTCACTCAATTGAAAACCTTAATTCTAGGCTATTAATTTGATATTAGTTAGGGGTATCTCATTAATGAAATGTGAACACACGCCAGTGTTTTAAATCAGATACCAGAACTTGATGTGATATTTTGTTTCTACTTTCAAACACTCCAGTATCGATCAGGGGTCTCTGGATTCTGGATTGTCCTGCAACCACAGTTCAACTTGCCATCTAAACAAAACATGATGATAAGCTTTTAGTTCATTAGGACAATATGGTAATTTCAAATAGAAAAATAATGTACAGGGTCATTGGACCTAGCAAAGGTGATGGGATATATGCTTCTCACAAATCACTCTTCACACCAACCTCATACTCACATCCCACGTCCCACATCCCCACCGTGTATTCAGAATATCTATTATGAATAATAACGTATAAATACGATCTAGTAGTTAGTTTAAAAACAATAGAAAGAACAACATGCAACCCAACAGAAACAAATAAAATATCCAAAATGTGAAGATCATCACTAATTTGGTTTCAAAATTTTGTAGAATGTTATATTACATTCAGTAAATACACAAAATTATCATCATCCGTCTCACCCAGTACTGATTCTGTTCCTCTATTCACTTGATCCATAAAACCAACAATGTGCCTTATATAGAAGTGGGAATTATTTTTATGTAAGGATTATATTAATGCTAATTAACAATTAATCTTGGTATGGACTAGTGCAAAAACATTGGTAAGAGTAGATTTCTAATCATAGTATATATAATTTGCATCCCTCATATATATACATTTTACAAGTATAGATATATACCTTAATTTGGTAGCCAAAATGGAAATTTCCTATCTACCAAAGAAATTAAGTGGAATTTTCCACCTGAACATCATTGGCTCTTCAATCAAGAATTGGGTCCGGCCACCTACCAATTATATGTCTTGTTTGCCTAAGTCTAGTCTAAATATTGGAGCCCTTCAAACATAAAATATCCAGTGACCCCAAAAAACATGTTGACATGGACCGGTTTTTGGATCGAACGGTCTGACTGTCCGATTTGAATAGATGGTTCATTCTCATTTAAAAAACAAAATTATAATAAAAAAATAATTATTTGGTTCAATAATTTGATTATCCGGATTAGTGGGTTATTCACCAAATTAATGATTTTTAGCCAAACAGAACCAATTATTTGATCAATTCCCAAATTTTTCGGTTCAATCATCTGATCCAGTATAATTTTTAAAACGATACTTTTTAGTTTGATTGTTAGTGTATCTTTATTTTATTGTATGGTTGCAAAATTTTGCTACGGCCATGGTCAGAGCATATGAGGACTCACTCAGTCACTCAACTCAACTGATTCATGCCATTATTCCACTCCATCAAGAGTGTCTTTTTGGGCTTTTGCATTGCTCCTTTACAGAGCTTTCTCTACCTGTGCCAAATCATTCAATTTCACGAAGGGCATCTTTATTGGTTGCTATGCACACATACCAATGACTCATTATGTCTCCCACAAAAGTAACAAAGATGTGGGACGAGCAAGTCTTGATCGAGCATATCAAGTCTCTTCCTAAATTTTGTACGTAAACTGGAATGATGTGGGATCTGCTCATGATGTGGCCAGAAGGGCCAATGTAAATACAACTTACATTCTGAATCCTACATCTCTCACACCGAGGCACCACTCATATCTCAATATGAGGGATCTTCCTTAATTATCTGTTTAATAGATATCCTTTGCTTACAGAAATCTCCAACCCTACTTTAATTTCCATTGGCTTTTAGAGACATTTACGTGATAATAACCTTATCCGTTCATTCCTATCTGAGTCCCATCGCATTGTTAAATTTCAATATTTGAAACCATAGAATCCAAATTCAAAGCCTCAGGGTAAAAAGATAAATAATTGTTTTTTTTCTTTTTTCTTTTTATTTCAATTCATCCCTCTTCAACATTCAGTGAGAATTATTACTTGATTAATTCTTGGAGATAGATGCTTTGGTGAACTAGAACACTAATAGATAAGATTGACCCCGTAACCCCAATTGACCACACTTCCCTCTTCTTTAATTTGTTTTTCCTGTCTACGCTTTTGATCTCTTGGGTTCATTATACCTCTTCCTTTTGATTTTTATTTTTTTAAATACTCTGAAAGTATTGAACATGTGCTGCTGCCTGGTGGCAAAGCTTAATTTGGAAAAAGAAAAACAAAGCATGATTTCTTTGTAGATTCCTTATTTGATTATCCAATTTCATACTTTGTTTTTCTATAGCCTTTTACAATTATCAGTAATGAATTCCAGTCTGAGGAAAAACAAGGCGTTGTGGGAGCTTCAAGAGATGTCCAATTAAAGGTAAATTGCTTTTCCAAAGGAATGATTTTCAGAACTGACAACCATTTTAAGAAGGCAGTCAACCTCTACATCATAGGGAGTCATATTTTCATAAATAATAATTAATGATAACCCACCCAGCAGCTCCCAATTAAAACTGATTGACATTACTATCATAATCATTTGCATTGGTATAAATTATATTTGGGTAAAATATTTGTCTCACAAAAAAAAAAAAAAGGAAAAAGAAAAGAGATGAGAACTAACTAAGGTTTGCCTTGCAAGAGGAAGTTGTTCTTTGAGATCTTTCTTCTGGGGGTGTAAGTTGAGTACCTTCTTTTGCTCATAGAAATGTTGTCCAGCTTGCTTTGGCACAGACTGATATGACCCTTAAAGCTGCAAGGTATCTATCTACTCCTTAAAAGTAATTCTATTGATAATTAATTAATAAGTTGAATTCATTTTCCAAGTTCAGGGCAGAGGATAGATATCCACTCAATGTGTGTTTGTTTGTGGTGTAAATTCTCCCCATCGGTTCAGTTTTGTGGGCGTTTATTTGTATTTTAAATCAAGATCGATCGATATAAAATATTATCATTGGTTTAGAATTGTTGGTATTTGGATAGAGTGGAGTTTTTACATGTCGATCACATTTTTTGATGCTTAGTATATATAGAGATTTTAAACGATTCAGTGTAAAACTTCATCAATAAACTTCTACATTGATAAGGTTTAATACCGCAAACAAACGCAGCCTTAATTTTTAGTTATAAGGTATAATACTCTTACATATTAGGGTTCGGAAGAGATGTCCATCACAAAGAGGGGTCCCCAAGTTCTGAGTGGAAGGAGAGAATGCTTGGGCGATGATCCTCCACTTGTAGGTAGAGTTCTCAGGATGACTGTAGGTTGCTACCTGAACATAGAATGCAATCTTTCATATTCAAAAGTCAAGAGATTACCAACAAATAATATGTCAAACAAAAGGACAATTAAAGGTCTTTTCATTATATAGGAGGACAGAAGCCCCGTGAAAAGAGATGAAGAGTAGTGCTTGTTCGTCCAAAATAAACCAATGGGGTCATTAGGATACACCAGTAATCCACAGAGATAGACAGTGATAAGAATTGAACCCCCCGTGAGGCCAAGCCATTTGAATTCTCTCCTACAAACTCCAGGATGCATGAAAGATGTAACCCACCAAGACTACCCATTAATTTATTTGTTAATTTCCTCCACCAGCCACATTTTCAGGACAAATAAAAATAACAAAGAGCTTTTCAGTACCCAGAAGGTACTGTTTGGTGTTTCCTTTAGCACAAGGCTGCTGTATCTTCATTTATATATATACCCTGGGGCTTCCCCCATCCACTCGTAGGGTAGCCTCTGGTTGTCCTCCTTAAAGGGTATTCAGCGTTTCTACTTCATGATATAACCCATGATAAGGATATCTTGTTGACTTGCAGCTATCCAGCTAGCTTCTGAGAGCCCTGCAGATGCAAATTAAAGGGCTTCTGAATTCAGCTTTACCCCTTTTAGTGTCGTTATATTTGTCTACTTTTGTTACATATCCTCATAATGATCATTTCTTCTCTGTACCCTCAAATTTGACCCTTTTAACATTAGGGAGTTCCATTTGTTAGTACAAAGGAAAAAAAAACAGAAAAAGAACACTTCCAGGGAAAGGTTCTGAAAATGGGGTCATTTATTAGCCTGTGTCCTTGGTCTTTCTCCTACGTACAGAGGAATTCATTGACCACCAACAAATATTTCCCACGTATCCATACGTCTTTGCTTTAAATAATGAGAAAACACAGGTGAAGTGAAACCCCCTTTAACCTTCTGATTCAAACGCCAGCTTTAGCCTTCACAAGATGGACAGAAATCTGCAAGACTTGGCAAAAAAGAGGAAGAAGAAATTCTATTTCTAACTGTGAACTGTGCAACGAGGGCAGATAAAAAAATGTTCACATTTTTCTACCACCTTTGACCCTTCTTAAGTCCTCTGACAACAAGATTAAAACTCGGTGCAAAATCCGGAATACAAATCTGGACATGCATTAAATGGACTACAGTCTCTTGCAAAAAAAAAAAAAAAAAAAAGAAACTGAGAAGAATCCGACCATGTATGCAAATACAAAGCATTGATTTGTATCAATATATAATTTAGTGCCTCTCGTAGTAAACTGAACCATCTAATTATTTTTCTGCAGAATGCCAGCCAGAATCGCAAAGCCACAAATAGCCACGAAGCTCTTACATAAGGCTGTGCGTCTGTGACCCGGTAAAAATAGAAAAAACTATATCTAGTCTAGAGAGAGAAAAAGAACAAAAAATCAAGACCGATGTATTACACCTACCGTTATTCTCTGAATATCCACAGTCTCATCCATCATATCAGGTTAGCTACAAATAAACAATCAGCAATCACGAAGAAAACACAAGAGAGTTCACCTTGGAGAACAGAAGAAAAGAAAGAAAAAAAAAAAAACAAAAAAGAAAGCTAGAAATGGATTACAAAACGATCATGGAGACTAAAATAGACACCCAGAACTAGAAGAGAAGCCAGCCAACCAAATTGTATTGAGAACTAAAAGGGATTAAAAGAAAAGCTAATTTAAAGAAGTAAAATTTACAAAGAGAACCCAAGATTTCTCCTCTCATCTACTTCTTTCAGTTCTAATTTCTGATACCAAAGAAACTCTCTCGTCTCTATCTCTCTCTCTCTCTCTCTCTCTCTCTCCAGATTTTTCGGCTATCTTCAGAAAGGTGGACGGGCATGAGCCCAAGCAAAAGCGTCGTGGTTCAGTTGCCCACCATTAGGGATAAGGTTGGGTGGAAGGTTGTAAATGGGCAATGATGATGGGTCGGGCAACCCAGACTGCTGCTGAGCACTGCTGCCAATTGCGGGTGGAGAACTTCCTGCACCTCCGGCGAGCTGACCCTGCCCACCACTACCTGCTTCATCTTCTTCTTCTTCGAGTGGGAGACGCTCGTATGTGGCGTTCGCAAATGTGGCGGCAATCACCATGACCGGCCCCGCTGCAACAAGTGTGCCGACCACGCTGCCACCCACCACCTGCCCTTGACCGCCAGCCAAGTAGACCGTCAGCCCAGTCGACCCTGGCGGAGCAGGTCCGGGCAGGAAGGCTCCTGTCAGAGATAATATCTCGAACCGGCCGTGCAGTGCTACAACAGCACCGGGTGCGGCAGGCTGTCGCAATGTCACGTTGGCTACTGCTCCGCTTCCGCTAAGTACACAGACTCCTCGCTGTCGTCTCCTGGCAAATTGCGCCACGCTCTCGGCTACGTCGGCCCCTCCTGCCACCTCCATCACATGGCTTCTAAGTGCGTTCGGGCTGTCTCTGGTCACAAAGATCGGTGGCTTCGGCTTGTTCTTGGACCCGGGCGGTCGTCCCCTTGGACGACGGGTCCCGACCTCGACAGCTCCTTCTTTTGGTTCGTCCCCGTTCTCTCTCTCTTCTTCTTCATCACCTCCGCCGCCGCTGCTTCCACCGTTTTCATTCATTGATAGTTCGCGTTTCTTCAACGCTGGAGAACCCCCTGCCTGCTCGACGCCTGGCAGCCCCACTTGCCCAGTCCACCACCTGTTCGCCAGGGTTGCAAATCCAAGAGAACCCACACAAATTTATTTTCTTTCAGATCACGTCTGCAATTGTCCTTTTTCTGAGCTTTCCTCCACTGACAGAAATCTAAAATCAAGCAACAACTCAAGATGGAATGAACGGTTCTTCTCCTTGATAATAGATCTTCCTTCTCTCCTCTCACTGATGTAGACCTGAGAAGAGATCAAGCCACCTAGAAACTAGAAACGGATATGTACTGGATCAGAGAACCACCGAGGCCGGTAGATATATGAGATTAAGATGCAATTGCTCACGGAATTAATTAAGTGCAAGAGGATAGAGATCGATCCGTGGATGGGTTCTTCCTATACAGCTAAAGATGAACCAGACAAGAAAACAACCCGAAAATGAACTAAGAGAAACGAACAAATAACAATTACAAGACCCTCTACAAAATCAACTACTGTAGGAGAGAAGATGAATGAAGAAAGAAGAAAATATCTAAGCACACCTTGATATAGAAATCCAGAAAACACCATCAACAAAAGCAGGGAAAGAAACCCACAAGGAAGAAAGGAGAACGGAGTACTCAGGATCAAGACCAACCAGAAATACCACCACCACCGCCTACAACAGCAGAAAAAGCTACAGCAAAGAGGAGAATTTGCCTCTGCATCTCCCTCCCTATTTCTTTGTGGGTTTTCTTCGTTTTCTTTGCTGTGTCGTGGGGTTTGGGAGCTGTGGTTTTCTCTTCCCTTCACTCTAGTCTCTAATGTCTCTCACCTTGTAAGAGGCCTTGGAAATTAGGGTTTTGTGGGGTAACGTGCGCGTGAGCAGGTGGGGAGAACGTCGTTGTCTCGCGCCCCGACATATCAACGGATGCCGAGAGACTCCAGACTAGTTGAAAAAAAATAATAATAAAGAAAAAATTGATGAAGTTTTACTTTTTTAGCTCCTCTCTTCGTTCTACTATTTTTTCCTATTAAGATAATCTTGAATTTAATTTATTCTAAGCTTTTTTAACCCCACAGCTACTACTCACCCACCACCTTTTCATGCCTCCTTTGCTTCCGTTCTTGGTCTTTCTTTCCGCTGAACAGCTCCATAGCTACAAGGATCAAGGAAGGTATCTCATGAATTCATGTTACAAACCCTATTTTAGTACTTTCAGTTTTCCTTTGTTTTCTCCATTCACACCTCTTTGAACAAACAAGGCTAAAACATAAATTAATGAAGGTAGCTTTCAGCTGGTTTTTGAAGGGTTTCACTGATTAATTTATTTGTTTCTTCGGTTTTCTTTTCCTTTTCAAAGCAAGCTTAAAGCTTCTCGAGTAGCTTAGCTGTGAGAATAACAAATAACAAGCGAGAATGATCCAGTCCACCTCGGCCTTGACAAAGTTTTTTTGCTCATTGGTGAACGATCATGTCTGATCATTGTGTTTGAAACAGAGTATTATTGACCGTTTCCTGATGAACAATGGCTCCAAAAAACGACACCCCTGATTGATAGATCGAGACATAAGTCTGTCCGTTTTGTTGGAGCCCACCCCGTGATCACAACTGCCAATGCCATACAACTTTGTGTCCATCATGGTAGACCTGGTGTTTCTTGGTAGCAACGTTTTAAAAAAAGTATGAAATCAGCGCCGAAAATTCAATCAATCACAGTGATCAAATCAGCTACAGTTAGGTTTACCTCTGGAACTGGTCTGACGTGTTTGAACTAATTGTTAACAAAATCATCATCTAAGAATTAACTAACTTTTTAGCTATAAATTGATAGTGTTTTCCAAATCTGTTTTCGTTGTTGATCAAGCTGAGTTCCAAGTTTTGAGATATCTCGGTTAAGCTCTTTTTGTCACAGATATGCAACTGGGGATTGGCCTCCTTCGATGTTTGATCTAATTTCGTTGGGTTCTACGCGTATTGAGTACTTTGGTGTCTTGTTTTTGCTTATCTTTTCAGGATCATTTATGTCGTTTCTTAGCTATAGATTATCAACCTGCTTCAAAATTTAAGACTTGTACAACTGAAGCCAGAGCTCGCGTTCATCAGCTCGAAAGGCCTGAGTGAAATAAATAATAGCGATAAGGTTAGAAACAGAAGACCAAGCTCAGTTGTAACAGGAGATCGATTATGAGACTAATAAGCGAGTTTCCATCATATGCTAACTGCTCTGTGGCTGAATGAGGAATGAGGAATGAGGAAAGGGGGAGTCCGTTACCTCTGGTTCCTGAGTAGAGAGGAGACTGGTAAGGTGGGGCATTTATATATATTTATATATATATATATATATAGGAAAAATATTTAGGAAATTGTTGTGGCTGAAGTAGGGGAAATCTGGGTATTATTATGTTTCCAAGAACTGGAACATAGATATAAATTTTATATTTACATTTGTTATATTTAAATCAGAATACTTAATTCAAAATGTAGTTAATTTTTTTTTTCATGGTAGTAAGTTTGTGATGCCATTTTTGTTGATGAAATTGATATTTAATCAGAGTTTTCCAATAATAGAAGACGAATAATAAGAGTGGATGCTAAAATCTTAAATAAGCTAGTATGGGAAAATGTTATAAGTAACAATTAAACCTGACATGCCAATTGGTGGATGGAAAATTTGTAATGTAAAATTTAGAGGGGATTAATACAATACCAACTGATCATAGGATGGTAAGAAAATTTAATGCAATAATTATTAGAGAGCAAATTTATAAATCAATGGTTAAAAGAATAATGAATCAATTACACTGTATTGCAAATTAATTAGAATGCACATATATATATATTACTTCTCCAATAAGCATAGGACCCCAAAGGCTGAGCTGATTGTCTACTAAATGGCATAGAAAAGGAACAAAATGAGGAATGCATTTACTCAGTGAACAAAAATGTAATACAAAATTTAAGAGGATAATCAATTATATATTATGAAATACAATGGTCAAAACTACTTAATTATCTTATATACAAGAGTAGCATAAGCAAAATATTCTGCCCTGATTATTTAAGGATAGGCAGAGGTGGAGCCATGCATGGTTTTTTCTTAGGGGGGTGGGGGGAAAAGGCTAATATGTTTACTTAAACGCGGATCCTAATTTTCATAATAAAAATGCTAACAATTAAAATAAAATCTAATACATGATTCTAAATATTAAAATTCTGAAGTTAATATACAAGATTTTTTTTCCTTGTACTTTCAAGATCTCCTTTAAATCCTAGTTTAAAATTTTGTGGTTTTGTTGCTTGTTAGATTAGTTCAATAGTTCTAATTTGAATATTGTATCTAAATTCTAATTTTTTATTATGTCTATACATTTATTTTCGTTAAATATTTTCTGTTATGTTGATTTTAAGATGATATGTTGAAAATAATAAAATTGTTTCACTCATCAAACTGTTAAGTGGTTTTACGGTTTTGGTTGAGTGTTTTCTATTGTCATTGACTGCTTGATTAAGAAGAAAAACATTTAGTGAGTGTATTTCTATTGTTTTTTAATTGTTGTTTAATCTTTTATATATTTTCCTTTTTTTAGATGCCTTTTTAATTACAAGGGGGTCAGATGGCTAGGACAAGGTGGGTGGGTTGGGTAAGGATACAAGGTGGGTAGTCAAGTGCAAGTGGGTGGGCTGGGCACTGGGCAAGCCCAAACAGCCCAGCCCAAACAGGTGGGCTAGGCACTGGGTAGGGGGTACAAGTGCAGCCATGGCATGTGCCTATGCGAAAGTCCCATTTGGGACTTTTGTAGAACATATAGGGCTCATTCATTGCTAATGCTTCTCTATTTCAAAAATCCTTCATCCTCTTTCATTAACATTTAGGTTCTTTATAGAGGAAAACTAATAAAAGAAATATAAAAAATACAAATAATTTATAAGTTGTATCTCAAATCTGTAATGTAAAATCTTTTTTTTTTTTTTTGGTATTCCATCTTCCAACGTGTTGAATGAAGGAATTCCAGTGTGGACACAATGACAAACTAACAATAAAAAATTAGAAAAAAAAATCAAAATCAGTCTTAGACTCCACTAATTAATCAGTTACATGATAAAAATAACTTTAAAAATGAAAGAGATTCAAGATAAAAATAAAAAAACTTTTACAATTTACTTGTTGTGCACTTGACTTGTGTAGTCTCCTGGTCTCTCTAATTCAATTCAAGAATTTAAAAAGAAATATATAATGTTAGAAACCAATCAAAGCCCCCATGAGATGAAAACCCACATGATTTCTTACCACTTTTATGACTCAAGTTTATTGGTTATAAGTTTTTTCAATATCATATCTTTCCGGCTTCAAAGTCGAACACCTTAAAATATCATAACTTCAACTTCAACTATACAAATTAATGAATAATCAAATCCTTTCAATTCAAGTATTCGACAATTTGCTGGTTCTGGACATTCTGGAATCTGATTATTCTAGGCACTATTGGTTGTTGGGCAGTGTTCAATCTTCCAAGAAAAACTTGAACAGTGGACAAGAACAAGAAAAAAAAAAACTGGTTATTCAAACTTGTAACCTATGCTTCTAGGCAGTGGGGCCATGACCCCCCTAGGTCCCCTACCTCAGCCCTTGAGGATAGGGATGGTAATGGGGCAGGTTTGGGGAAGGTTTGGTAAATTCTAAACCCTATACATCCACCTCCGTAGAGCTTCCAATCCGTATTCTCTCCCCAAAACCTGTAGTAGGTTGGATTTTAAGAATCCAAATGCTCTCCATACATGAAAACACAAAATCTCCTCTACATTTGAGGGTGGAGTCAATCAGATTGGTGGATTAATTGGGTTTAGAACCTGCATATAATTTTCTGTTATATATAAGTAATAAACAAGTAAAGTAGCATGAACAAACATCGAAATTTCCAATTATTTGATTAAACAGGTAAAAACACATAAACTATCAATTATCCTTCACATAAAATTCAAAATATTATTACATTTAACATTTAGCACACAAGTTCATATGCCTCCCAACAATATATGGATCAGAGAGGGTTGCACTTAATGTAATACCGTACACTACCTGTGCCCATATGGGTTGTGAAATCACAAAACCCGTTCTTGCCATAAAATCTATTTTTAAGAGAAAAAACCCTGCCCATTGGGGTGGGGACCCAATGAGTAGGGTAGAGATTGCCATACCTATTCAATGACAAATTTGGCAATAATTCATCACAAGTATTAACAAGGATTCTCAACAATATTTTTCCCTTTTGAGTATACCTTAAATTATATCAGCTTAGTTAAGTTGTGTTTGATACCGGTTTCAACCTGAAGTGTTTTGGGTTGAGACACTGCACATCTAACATCAAGGTTCAAATTTTTGATATGTATCGTATCATACTGGTAGGTCCCCGATACTCTAATACAGGACTTTTGGGGTTTTGACCATTTTCATGGGTAGGAAGGCCTAACACCAATCCCTTGACCAATTTAAAATAATAAAAAAGGTTATATAGCTTAAAAACATCTAATATGCATATTGAATGTATCGATATTTTGAACCTTGCTTAAACACAGATATCACAAAATATCATGTTTCATGCTTGAATCCTGTTTAATTGAAATATATATTTACTTGCAACAGATTAATAAAATTGGCCACATCACTCATATTCACGCTTTTATAATATGAAATTATGAATTTTAATTTCCTCTCAAGCATAAATGATATATATATATATATATATATATATATATATATATATATATGTTGCCTCTTGCCAGTTGTCACTCTATTTATGGAACAAACTTTATCTTAATTAGAATTCTTCTCATGCTTCCTAAACAAACCCTCTAGTATGTGGTTTTAAAATTAAAAATTTTAGCTTCCAATACAAGATGGGCTTGTATTGGCTGAGCATAGAATTAATATATCGCCAAAGTC